TACAGTGGACTAAATGTGGAAACAATAATTTGCAGAAAGTTTCTGGTATTGCTGGTGCTGTTGTTGATATTGCTGATATCAGAAGCACATCTAATTTTGCTGAATGCCTGTTCTGCTATCGTTGCTAGCAACTTTTCATACAGTTTTGCAGTTCAGCTTTTGTTTACTGAGCTCAACGGTACCGGACTATATGTACCGAATGCTAAACGAAGGTCGTGACGTTTACGATAAGCAATCGACACCAACACAATGGCAGAGTTGATAATTTTTACATTTCAATGATGTTTGACTTCTTAACTTTCTTTTTTCGCTATATAATACATAACCAATTTAAGAATTTAAAAGGGGTTTATTCATTTTTTTTCCTTTGTTTTTTTTAAGTTTAGACAGCAGTATGTATATACATTTTATTTGGCACATAGGTGTAATAGTCAGAAAAAAAAAATAAGGGATGAGGATAATGATAAAGTTTATTTTCTAAAAGAAACAAAATATATTTTAACTTTTGATGTGTTTAAACATAAAACGCAACATTCAACTGTGTAGTAACAATTTTGCGGATTGCAAAAAAAAGTTTATTTTCTTCCTCTTCTCCTTTCATTATCAGGAAAATTTTTTTTTTCTAGCAAACATTCTATAAACGATTGAAAAAAATAAATAAAATTAAAGGTTGCGTAGAACTGTGAAGAAGTTCTTTACTCTAGTTCAGTATTATTTTTGATAGTAAAAACCAAAAAAATCAGTACAAAACTGCCAACATGAAAACGGTGTTATCAGTTAGTGAACTAAAAAATTTGGTCATCTAAATGGTCCAAAAAACTTATCAAAACAAACTTTACATATTTTAAATATCGAAAATTTTTTCTGTAAATAAATTGCTGGAAATGTTTTAGTGGTAGTTAACAGAAAAAATTTTGAAAATGTAAAATGGATACAGCAAAACTGTATGCAAACATCGTGAACTTTTTCCCCCGTATAACTGAAACGTGTGGCTTGATATTATTAGGCAGCAATGATCACTTTCCAAAAGTCTTCAACGTTGTTTTTTTAATCAACATTTGGAATGTCTTTCTGGATTACTCCGCGAAACTAGCATAGTAAATCGTGATGACTAACTTCTTAGGATAGTAGAAATTTGGCTTTATCAGTCTACATCAAGTAATCATTGTTCCAACCTTTTATATTTCCTCCAATTACCTACTGACCATTTGATGTGTAGCCGCAGCTTCTGCACTTGCGTCAGAAACATTTTTTTCCGGATTGACCACCGTAACTGTTCTCAGTTTTGAACCGCCGAAATGAGACAGTTCGGTCGAAAATTCTTCCACTGATCCGTCTTTGTCAGCATATTACGAAAACCATATCTGTACGGTCCAGGATCCTTTTATATATCCTACTGGTTTTTCAGTTGGCTACAGTAGCATCACCTCTTTTTTTTTTTCACGGATACAAGGAAATGGCTAAAAAAAATTATCCAAAAAACGACAAATCTAAAAATAAAACAAAATTTTGACGAGAAAAAAGCGCAGACAATAAGCTTTTTTTATCAGTGCTTCAGAAGTCAGCTGTTTTCAAATGAATATATCACTGAAGCGGAAAAGTCCAAAAACTAAATTTTTAGACTGGCAATTCTTAACAAATCCGTTTAGTGTTACATTGAAGTAAAAATGAAACAATAATTCTTGATTTTTTGTTTACACTTTAGTCAATATTTACAAGTTTATAAATAGATGTTTAATTTTAGACAAAGCTACAGAAGTTAATATATCAATGTATATTGAAGGAATGTCGTCATTTCGAACTCAAACTATGGTTAGTTAACAGATTCTGCTGCTTTTGTCCTCTGTTTTTGTTTCTTTTAAGTAAACTTATCTAATAAGCAAATTATAATTTTATTCTACCTTACCTTTTTTGTCCTTTTTTCTTTTTTTTTTTTCGGAAAAAATAAACTCTTTGTTAGCCTCAATCTATACGCTACATTGGTTAAGTATTCCGTATATTAGCTGTTTGCTATCCATTCATTTTTTTCTGTTCAACTGATCGTAAGCACTAAAGAAATTACTTTCATTAGTTTGTTCAGAGTAAGAAAAAAAAAATCGTCTGTTATTAAGAATCAAAAAACTGTTTCAATGCTTTAAATATTTGATCAGTTTTTCTTTTCTCAGATTTTGTTGGTTTGTTGCTTAGCGCAAAAGTTTGGCTTAGTTTAGTGCACAAGAATGAAGATTAGCCCATTTTAAGTTGTCTTTAGAAATGGAGAAGTAAATCCTGTGGGTTTTTTTTTTGATTTTCTGTTTGCATCAGTTATGTGCAAAAAAAAAAAAA